TTATTGAAGCTCTTGCCATCCGTAAATTTAAACCCCCTTTATGTATACAAAGACAATTCGTACTCACGTTGAACCTACCTTGGTAGTATTGATTTTAACTTTCATACCAAGAGTAAGGTTTTCCTTTTTCTTCTATCCCTTCCTATTCCTATGTTTCCTATTAACTTCATTGACCTTTTTTCGTAAATTTTCACATAAATAGTTCGACAAGTCCATGTGTGATCAGATTGTTCGAAATGTGTAGCGCTAATGCATCATATGTTTCAGATAATCTTTGTCTTCTCATTACGCTGTTTAAACATTTTATTAAACTTTTCCAATCATTACTAACTCCCAACATTTCAAAGACTCCAGTATATAAGCCTACATCCTCCTACACGGCTCAGACCAACTGCAAGAATTAACTTTTCCTTCAAAAAAAAGTCTTTGTAAGTATATGATTAACTGACTAACTTTCTTCAATGATGTTCAACCATTGATAAATTTATTGTAAATGACTCTATGAAAATGCTTACAAAGAAATGGATAGACGTTTACTTATAATAATTCGTTTCCATTACGTATTTGGATAACACTGATTTGTTAAACACATCATTACATTAAAAATCCATGAGTTTGTATGTAATCAAAAGTCACACAGTTAATTCTCACGATTATCTTATGAAGTTAAGAATTTTCTACAGTCTCATTATTATGCTTAATCCGAAATGTTGTTATCTTTCTCTAAAATCCACATATTGGTATTATATTGATCCTGGTGACTGGTAAAGGAATCCAGTAAGTGCGTTTCGCCCTTTACAAGACTCCTCAGCTGAACGTGTCTGCCTCTCAGTGAGTGATGTTGTTCCCATTTGGACTCGAACCCAGTAACCGTAGCTTCAAACGCCAAAACGTCACCCACTGGGGCACGATAGGCACCTCTTGTGCTATGGATTATCAGTAATTGTTTTGATATTTGTAATTTCCTGTTGCTATACAACGCCGAATCGTTCAACCTCGTATAGGAGCTCATCTGCCAGCAGAGATAGAACATTTCGGCGCTGTTTAGCAACGAGAAAGTACAAGTATCATAATAACTCATCTATTTGATTTAATTTTCATACTGACAATCAGCGTAAATGATAATGCAGATTCATTTGGCATTAAATGGATCTAATTAATTCACACCTGTTTTATTGTTTATGCTTCATTCCTACACTTGGAAGTACTAACTGCTTTATATTTAGCAGTTTAACTGTCAAGTACTGGTTTATTTTCTCACTTTCTAACCGTATTTTCCAGTTTTTGATTAGTTTTTTTCAACTCACATACTTCATGGTGTTAGACATTCGATTTCGACACTTCTAAGCTTTGGCCCTTTTCGATTGACTGGTGTCTATATTAATGTGTTTTTGATCAGCATGGCCTCCATGAACGTTGAAGATATATTTAGACATGTAACAGCTACACCCCAGTTTTGAACTACCGTCGCTTAGTTATTACAATATTCAATCCAATTGCGATTTTCTCTACTACCTGAAGCTGGTGAGACTTGAGCAGGAGGGGAGTCATCATAATCATCATCCATTTCTTGGTGATCGGTATTCTCTAGAAAATCTGTATTATTAGTTACGCGTATCAGCTGCTTATCACTTTTATTATGATGACCACTTTCGATAATGCAATTCAACTATAACTTGAATAATTATAATGAGTTCACATCTGTATGTCCTACTTTTTGTTGACCTTTGGAAAAGTTATGCTTTCATGAAATACGTATCTGCATTTCCACGATAAAGAGGGAAGACAGGCTAAACTCAACTTCAATCGTTCGTACTTTTACTACTGTAGTACTAATAAGATATCCACTGAGTGATATAATATAGCTTTATTCTACTATCCTATATTTAACTATATATGTAAACAATCAGCACTTTTGAATTCAATCAAGTAAGGTTTATGTTTTCATTCATTTTTGATTAGCTCATTAGGATTGAGATATTCACTTCTTATTGTGCTAAGCAAACCACTTCAGTGTTTTCTAATATATATTGTGGAGTTCAGTCAGGTATATAGATTGAGATGCGTTTTTAAAACTCACAATTTATAAAACACTTTTACATGAGGTGTTGGTAAGGGTAAATCTAGAACACAAGTCTTATGCAGTGAAGCCCTTACTCATCGGTTGAAGTGATATAGGTTAATACAGGCTTTCAGTTAGGCTGCTTAGGATATGGATAATCAGTGAATAAAGATATTTTTGATGTACCTGAAAACCGATGTTAGTAATTTTGAGTAATTTAACCCTCATTTGACTGGCAGTATTAAACCTTCTGCTATTCTGTTTCTAATTTATCCTTATATACTAAAGTCTTCTTTTTTAATTTCTGTCTATCTTAGTTTTGATCCCTTTTTATTGTGATTTCAAAATGTAGTAGCTTAAACCAGCATACATTTTTAGTTCTGTTTGTTTTATGTTCCATAGAGTTTTCGACTGATGAAATGTACTGCTGAATAATTTAAGTAGTTAGAAATCACTCAGGTTGATCTGTAGATTTCATCAGACAGATAACAGTTGTCTGAACACCAGACAGCCTTTTCGCTTGTTTGCGGCCAAGCTCATCTGAGATGTAGTCGGACAAATTCAGATCATAGGAGAGAATAAATTCAGATCACCTGAATCTAACTGGCTGACTTGTGTGACCTGGTACTCCTGAAATAGGATGATCAATTTTCAAATGATTTACGAGTTGTACGGTCCATGTTGACATCTCTCACAGATGAGTAGTTTTTCAGCTGTCAAATTTGGGATCTGAACTGATTGGGGTCTATAAGTTGAACTTGTCCGGGTATGCCGCTGATGAGCTTGGCCCCAAACGAACGAAACAGTCGTGCGGTGTTTAGATTGGTTGGTCCGATCTGACTGATGAAATCTACAGACTAGCCTGAGTGGTTTAAACTACTCAGATTGTTCAGTGGTATATTTCGTTAGTTCATGGAACTTTTATGTAGTAAATCACACATTGTGATCTTGGTTGATGATGGGTAGTTTCCAACGGAGACCTTATTGCCACAACAGTTTGGCAGTTGAAAAACTACTCAGCAACTTCATCATTTTTATACTAGACTTTATCCACATAGACTCGCTTATATCATTTCACTCGCTTTATTCACATTTATATTTCTAGTAAACATCTGTTGTTTTTTTAATGAACGGCGATTTTAACTTAGAGGTAGTATTCATCATGGGCTGACTTCAATTGGGGAACCATTATTGATGAATACTACCTCTAAATTAAAATCCCATTCATCTCGAAAAATACATTACTGTATGGTCCTCACTAGTGACATGGTTCCAGATGGATATCGCGAAGTTTTAATGAGAAGCCGTGACCTATGGGGTCAGCCAGACGGAAAGGAAGTGGATGCTAACTGGAAGACCCTGGGTGATTGTCACGCTATATCGTGAATTGACGGAAGTTGGAAACTGTGAACCACAGAACTCCCACCCAGTGATTGGATGGTTAACGCGTCCGCCGTTAAAGCTGAAAGTCCTGAGTTCGGTCCCTAGCCGGGTCGTTTGTGCATACTGTTGAAGAGTCTCATTACTAGGGTGAAATAGCTGTCCAGTGCTCCCAGGTTTATCCATAGATATTTCAACTACCAGTACAATTATACTCAAAAGCGTTTTAACAGACGGAATATACTACTTATATGATTCCTAACTCAGTAAGCTTGAGGTTTCTATAGCTTGAAATGGTAACAGTTTACTAATTTTTCAAAAATTCCATTGAGCCATGCAGAATTGTGTAGAATCCTTGACTAGAGTCTCTAGAATAGCAGATACAGGTAACCGAGTGAACACATGTCACTGGTGTGGATTTATTCGCCGTCACGTTATTTCATACAATAATTTTCCTTCACAAATTTAAGTAAACTAGAGAAAACAGTTATAGCAGAGTAGTATGGGTCTATTTTATTTCACGGTTCCTCATCAGCTGCTTACAGCTTAAAACAATTTTAATATCAATTTACACAAATATTTGCTTACTTGTGTCAACTTTAAGGAAAATTGTCGGTTTGAAATAAAGATAACTTCGATATGACGTAATTGAAAATACACGAACTGAGTAAATCTGTGGGGTCAACCAGTCGGAAGTGAAGTGGATGCTAACTGAAGACCTTGGGTGACAGTCGCGCTATGTCGTGAATTGACAGGAGTTGGAAATTGTGAACCACCGGGAACCGACCCAGTGGCTGGATGGTTAACGCGTTCGCTGTGGAACCTGAGGGTCGTGAGTTCGACCCCTAGCCGGGTCGTGGGTGCGTACTGCTGATGAGTCCCATACTAGGACGAAACAGCTGTCCAGCGCTCCCAGATTTTCAATGGTTCCCCAACTGATGTCAGTCCAAGATGAATACTACTTCTAAATTTGTGAAGCTTATAGTAAGTTCTCCAACATATAAAAGGACTAAACGAATATTTTAGAGCGAAAGTTGGATAGGACTGGAAGACAAATGTGTTCAACATATCGAGAAAGGCTACAAAAAATGTGTAAAAGGTCATAAGATTTGTGTTAACTGAGTTAATGTGAGTAGAATTCAGATAATTAGGTCGAGGATGTGAAAAATGAAATAACAACGAACCCAATTCTTATGAATCCATAATATGTAAAAACCATGATGATTGTCAACAAAACAAAATTTTTTACCTTGATATGCACGGACTGATAACTGTTTCTTTCTGAACATATAAATTCGGTTTGATTCATTTAATGACTGACGCTTTAGCGGAACATAATAAATTCGAATTCGTATGTTTATTAATTGTTTTCGACGGTTTCTGAATATCAACTACATGTCCACTATCAATAAGGTGACGAGCAATTGCGCTGTCGAAGACTTTTCCACTTCTCACTTGCAAATTCCTTTGGATATGCTCGGATATATGGTTACAAATTCTTCTTTCTGTTCGTCTAATGTATATGCTTTGGCATAAACACCTGAATTTGTATTTATAGTTTTAGGTAACATGAACAGGGGACTCGTCAAACTTCGATCGTCTTAGTGATCGATTCGTTCGGTGGAGTGAAGTTAACCTAGAAGCTGGAAAAGTTTTTTTTTTAAGACAGCATTCATTTTGTAATTAATTCTCCCGGAAACAGTGTCACCTTTGAAACCAAGATTTAGGAAAATAAGCTTCACGACTGTACCACGCATATTTTATAGTTTTAGTCGGTAAATTGTTGTGCTTAATGATGAATTTCTGTAAAAATCCGTTGTCATGGAGGCAAGTTTCGATATCGTTCACTTCCTCTTCCAGTGTCTCTTTTGCAATAAAGATGTCTTATGCGGTTGTGTTTTCACCAGCTCTTTCTTATAACTGATGTTATATTATTGTTATAATGGGTGCATTCTTCTTACAGCTTCTTGATTTTTTGATTTATATATTCACTTCCTTTACGAATTGTGCACCACTGTATCAATTGTAGTGAACTAAACCGGTGTACTATCATCCCACTATCTACGATGAATCATTTACTCAGTCTGAAAAATATTGATTTATTTAATTCTTGTCAAATTAGTTATATAACTTAAATCAGCTTCAATCTAGATATACAACCATAATCTTTGACATATTTTATTCATAGTTTAATCAATTTCCTACAGATTCCATGCGTTAATGAGGATAATTTGATTTATACGGCTGGATAGTTTCCTGTGAAATCATAAGAGAGTGGACTGTGGACATTTTTTCGTCAAAAAACAGTACACAATTTCATTTATCTTTCAAGACTACGTGATAAAATCTCTGACCTGTTGTAGTTTTATTTTTCTACTTTATGTATTTCAACTTGTCACAGATGGACACACATAACTAGGCCTACATCATTTATGTTTCATCGATTTGCAAACAAAAACTTTTTCCACTAAAAAAGGACTTCTTTTTTACCCCTAGTGAATTATTATCTCAATTTTGCTAAAAAAAAAAAACTAGCGAGTAGATATTGCACCGAATTCCTTGCTGTGTAACAAGGTTTGATGATTATGATTGACAAAAGCCGTTGATGACCACTTAAAGTGTACTATTTAACTAACTGTTAGATTAACAATCACAGTAGTGCATTATTTGACCATAAGATGTTTATTATCAATTGCATTTCTGAAAATATTGAATTAATCCTGTATCCTACTCTAAGTTTAGCGATAAGCTTTGTTGATACTACGTGATGATTGACGGTGAAATGAGAATTTGTGTCATGGCAGGATTCAAACCAGCGATCACAAGATTTCTGGCCCGAAGCCGTACCATCTGGGCAAAGCATTTGGTGAAATACAAAATCTGATCAGCAGTTGAGTTACCTAGATCATCGGGTCGGAAACCTAGTAGTCGGTTCTTTGAATCGTGCCACAGAGCAAATCATTATTTCACTTTTAACCATCACCCATTATCAGTACAAGTCTACTGAAGCACGACTCACTCATAGTTAAACTGATGGTAGACTTTATGTTTAAATAAGCCAATAACATGAAACATATTTCGAGGTGACATCCCTTCATTGTTTCCAACAATCACATAACAACTAACATAGTCTACAGTTATTAATTATTCATCAGTGTTGGCAATCATATGAAGTAAAGGAAAATATTAATACCTAATCATTATACCGGGTCGAGTAGTCCAGGGTAGACAGCGGGTCACATCCACTATTTAGTGAATACATAATTTGACATTATGGTAAATCCGAAGTGCCTTCATCACTTTCTATACCTTCAGGTTGAAGTTATGTGAAACAACTTGAAATCTTCATTAGCACAGATTGTGTGCTCAGCCGTAGAATGATGCTGGATTCCTATCCATGCTAAGTACATTTAGTTTAATCATGTGATTTGATTGTCATTCCAACACCATTTCATCATTGTGTTAGGGATCTGTCCCCACAACTACTGGTGAACTTTTAGATACTGGAAGAGGAAATTCCTTTAAAGTTAAATAAAGAGAAATAAGTGATGCCGCAACTAGATTTGGTAGCATACCAAAAGGTTTTAGCTTTCAAATGCATAATCCGGTCACCCATAATTGATATTTTGATGGAGATAGCTTTCTTTGTTACTGCAATTGTCCTCTAGGCAACTGACTGGTCTTCACTGTGACACATGATGAATTTTTTTGGATAACCATCAGTCTATAAACCTGGATGTATGTGACATGTTTCAACATCCAGTGTATCACTGGTACATGTTTTACGAGCTCTTGAGAATAGATATTTAACTAAGAAATAGTTATGCTGAGTAGGGACAAGGCTGCTGAAGTGTAAATATTTCGTATTTGTTTTTGAAATATTGATCTTCTGATTATCCCATTGTTTTATCCAGTGATTAAAATGTCCAGAAAATCCGATTTTTCATTCCATTCAAATTCATGTCATGGAAGTATTTGGATAAGTACTACTGAAAAAACCAACACAATTATCAATTGGTTCATAGTTGTCGTGTACAAAAGGGGTGTCACTTAAATAGTGTTTACAGAAAATAAAGCTCTGTAGCGTATCTTTCATTTGCTCTTCTAGTTTAGACATATATAGGTCAGCTAGCAGGGGCCTGATGCTAACGACTGTTTACCAACTATTGGACATAACTTCCACCTGAAGGTATTAAAGGTAACATAAGTACTTTGTACAGGTCACATACTCATATTATGCCTTCACAAATAATGAATGCGACAGTTGTTTACCCCATTATAACTACAGAATATTGGCGAACAATTAATTACTGTGAACAATGTTGGTTATTACGAGATTGTAAAAAAACTAATAATTGATATGTTCTTGGAATATGTATATGTCTTTTTACTGTCTTATTTAAGTTGCTCAAAAGGACACACTCTTTTGAACGGTATATAATTAACTGACTTGATGGTGGCTAACAACAGAATCCAGGACGCGCGTTTCGTTCTTTTTGAGACTCGTCAGCTGATGTATCCGCACTCCAATGAGTGATGTTGTTCTCACTAATACTTGAATTCAGAACCAAATACTTCAAACGCCAAAGCGCTACCTACTAGACCACCAAGACAGGATACACACCTCTCGTCTAACGAGTATTAGTATTACAAGTATCGATAAGTGGTATGTAATTAAGCGAACATTGGTCGTCAAATGATTATTAGAAATAAGATCTGATTAGACTCAGGTTTGAATGTAAGCATAAAATTCATGTTTGAACACATTATTAATGGCATATTATTTGCACCACAACCTCAAATATTGTGTTATATTGAGCTGTTAATCATAAGTGTTAAACATGACTTTTAGTAGATGAAGCAGTAATACTTGAGATTATGTTATAAGCCATCTAAAGCTGTGCCAGAATGAGCACGCTGCAAAAATGATCTTAAAATTTACAAATAATCGATTCCAAGGATCAGCTATCACAGGTGTATATTCGCATTCATGAAGAATCAAAACTTGATCAATTTTTGATAGAGCTGTTTTATACCTTTGTTTTCCATTGGACTGATAACAACTTTATTTTAGTGAACAAAAAGAGTAGGTCACCCTCTATGTGATGCATGCAATACAGTAATTTCATGTTAAGCTAATCCAAATCCAAAATAATATTACAGTGCATTCCATTTTCTTTATCGTTAAGAACTTGAAGGTTCTGAGGAATTATCCTTGTAACAATCAGCTACTTCAAATGATTATCTCTTGCACAATCACAATACATTGAGAGAATATCAAGACTAGTGACTATCTGTCCAGCAATATAAATTAATATGAGATGAAGCATTTCGTTCATGAAATAAGTGAAACAATCTTATGATGAATATAATTTTGTGCTTAGTTGTATTAAGATTCCTAAAAAATGATTTATGCAATACTATGTGTCCATTTCCAGTAAAATTTAAAGCATTTCTAATACATTTTTCCTTGAAATTTGTCTTGCTTTTTATTTGAACATATTTTAAAGTGAAAATTAGCATCCTAACACTTTGAAGAACTGACTGATGTAGACAAATTGTTTGTTAGATAGTAGATAACTTTATTCTGAAGCTTTAGGCTGCGATCAAAGCTTTCTGATCGATTTTAGAGTATGAATACTGAAGTAAGAGGAACGATACCGAAGCACATTGTGTTTTGGTGTTGTAGTTTAGTAGGTAATCAGTAAAAGACATGAAGAAACTTGTGTAGTTTTAGCGATTAACACCTGTATTACTTACCTACAAGTGTTCTTAGCATGCTGTTGATCACATAAATAATGATAAATTTGATCATTTGAAACAAGAAGGTAAGTTAACCAAAATGTCACTATTGACAGCTGTTATTTAGAAGCCTAATCCAAGTGAATAAACTATTTACTACTGATTACTCATGGATATATTAGTGATGGATAGTGGCTAGCAGTGGAATCCAGGTGAAACGATTCGTCCTATATGGGACTCGTCGGTTGGATGTACCTGCCTTTTATTGAATGATTTTACACCTTTACTACTGCGTTCATTGCAAGAAATTATGAAGATAACGTGTTTCAGTACACTGATCCAAATTAAAATAAGCTTTGTCAGCTCAAATAAACGGATAAAATGGAAACATATGCTAAGTAAAACATAAGCAAAGGAAAAACTAAGGCTCTCATGGTCAATCTCTGGTGCAGTCATGGGTGAACATGGTCGAGGAGTCGCAAACTACAAAAAAAAACAGCTATCCAGTGTTCTAAGACCTCCAGTTGTTCTCTGGCTGATTTCAATTCGTGATGTGAGCCATTTTAAAACCATTCAATCCCTACAAACCGTTGCTGAAAGAAAAAAACCTGAAAAGCAACCTTCCAGTCAGTACAGACTGGTTAAACTTGGGTCAACGATATGTGCAACACTTACAATATAGTACCAGCTTTCGGTGGAGAAGATAGCTGAAGGGAAAATGTCATTCACTCAGCTGTCGTTATAGAATGTACAGTGATCAATGTATTTGGTATTGAGAAACCAGGAACTGTATTTTCAAATAGGATTCGGCTTTCTTAGCTAGTGAATTGAACACAGAAAAATATTCAGTTTTTATCTAACGTTTTAGCTGCAATCTTTAAGTTTGCGTTTCATTTGTTTATAGAATACTCGTTATGGTTACTGAGGATACTAAATCAACCATAAGGAGATTTATAGGTGAGAATTAACAAATAATTACGAGAAGTATCAAAGAGTTGGTCAGTGAGTGCCACATGATTTAGAGTGGTTAATGAACTGATAGCGACTAACGCAGCTATTCGGAGGAAACAATTCGCATTTCAAAATTCAATCAAAGGATATATTCATAATAAAAAAACAGATATGAGAAGTTCGGTTTGGGGGTTTGTAGGGATTTATTGATTGGATGATGGTCGCCCTATGTCGTGAACCGACAGAAGTAGGAAGTATGAACCATTGGATTCCAACCCACCGACTCAATAGCAGCGTGCTAGCTACGGCACCTGAAGGTCACGAGTTCGAGCCCTGGGGGGCGGGGTCATGGGTGCCCGTTGCTGAGGAGTCCCACACCAGGGCGAAACAGCTGCCCAGTACCCTCAGGTTTCCAATGTCTCTCCTGTCGGTGTCAGTTAATGATGATTACTGACTTGACATACAAGAAGAAACCTTAAACTGGGGAAATGCTTTGCAGCTAAACTTGTAATCACGGAAGATTATGAGTGTTTCATCTGAGTTAGGAGCTCAATTCATGGTAAAAACACTAGAAATCGAACTCCAATTAAGAGAAAATGAAAACTGTTATTCTTTAATAGGTCCCCATTAGTCTAAAGACACTGTAGAAGGAATTACTCATAATTTGTTACCAGAATTTAAAAGTGAGGTTGCAGAGAGATGTATTTAAGCAAGATAAAGATTTCCAATGTTTTTAAAAGACGAAATATGTTGATAAGACGTTCATTAAGTCAACCATGGACGTGTGCAAATGAGTGAAACTTGAGGGGATTTATGACAGAATTCTATAAAGTAGTAGTAGCAAGAAGAATGATCCTAAGCAATGAAATAGGTCATGCATAGATTATAACCACATGTACCTAAAGGTCGAACCATTGAATCACTCTTACCGATTCTATATTTGATCTTAACAAAACATGAAATGCTCTCTGTATGTGTACAGGAT